ACATGCCACCCGAAATGAGCAGGAGCTGCAGGCTGCGGCTTTCGCAGCGTATGCCCTAGGAAATGCCATCGTCTACGCATAGCAGCATGCATCCAACTGAAATGAGGGCGAACTTGAAGCAGTATGTGGATAAACCTTCTCCGCAGACGATGAACTACAACAGCAGTGCCGCGTTTGTTGGAGTCAGGAATGAAAAGGTGAACACAAAGGCAATACAGGGTAGTTTGCAAGTGCAGCAGACGACGCCTGACATGATGCAAAGGCTCGAGCATCATGACAAACCAGGAAAATTTTGCAAACACGTAGCGGTTGATGAGAATGTAAGGTTGTTCATCATCTGTATAACTGCTCTGACGAAGAACCTGTCCAATCTGACACCAGCCCGCGTGTGCAAGCTTGGAGCAGTTGTCAATCACCCAATGACTGATGTTGTAACCATGTTCATAATGCTTGAAAGGTTTTTTGAGGTACATGCCCTCGCTGCTCCACGTGCACTGACACACAATGCTATCCGGGTGTGAGGCTTTGTACCGGGCACCGGCATGCCAAAGTTGGCTTGGCACAACGATTACAGTCTTGTCAAAGTTGATGAGAAGGCCAACTGCAGCTAGCTCTTGTTGAAGCTCCGTCAAACAACTATTCAAGGAGTCCCATTCTTGCAAGTTCAAGATAATATCATCAACATAGCTCCATCCAAAGCAAGGAGTACCGTTGGGAAGTGAATGTTGATGCCTAATGCCTTTGTCGGCCCACGCGTCAACCAGTTTCTGCAAGAGGTTGCCAAGCATGACAGCAAAGATTCCTGCGCTGGGTGGGGCCCCTTGTTGGACGCCACATGTGCCATCCACTTTCCATGCCTCACCCTGAAAGGAAAACGTGAGCTCGCACTGTAACAGTTCCCAAAGGACAATGCACTCATGGTGGAGTGCCGGCGGCGTGCGATGAAGGAGCAACTGCAGGATGGCCTCCCTATGCAGGGTGTCAAAAGCTGCACGAACGTCAAGCAGTACCCAAAGGGACCGCGTTCCGGCTCGAAACTCCTTGTATAGAAGAGTTTGGGCAAGCCACAGGCACTCCACGCACTGACTACCAGGCAAAGCTCCCAGCTGGCATTTTGGCAACGGCCAATGGGGCAGGAGACGCTGATATATCAGTCCGGTCAATAGCTTATTCATCGATTCAATCAAGCAAAGTGGCCGGTATTGTTTGGGCACTTGAATAAGAGACTCCTTGGGAACGAGGCAAACGAATGCTTGAACATACTCAGGGGGAACAACCTTTTGACGGAGAATGCAGTTGCAGTGCAACGTGAGGAATGCCAGGCCCTGGGAGCACTGCGAGAGCGCAAGGAGGCATTCTGCACTAAACCCTGACATCCCAGAAGTCTTCCGTAGTTTGACCCGCTCGCGAACAAACGTGGCGATCTCCTCAGTCTCAAACAGAACAACATTCTGCGAAGTAGCACTTTGCTTGAGGTCATCACGAAGGATGTTGAGAATACGAGCCCTTTCAGGTTGCAATGGTGTGCCGAAGACCTCTGTCGTGTGCAGTTTCATGAGCTTCACACTCTCCGCACGACCGCCAGCATCACGGATCAAGGCGGTGGTGGAAGCAGGCTTATGCTGACGACGTCGCAAGTAGGAAATGGCCTCAGAATTGCCGTTACTAGCTTGAAGCTCAAGCTGCTTCCACCAATCCCGCTTAGCAGCAGCACGGCAAACAAAGATGGACCGCACAAGCCATGCTCGCTGTGCATGATCTGGTGTCTCCCGTCGCTGCTTACACAGATCCTTCACGAAAGGCGGATCCCTGTATCGGAGACCGGTGCGAACTCTAGAGACCTTCCGCGCAAGCTTCTTCAAGACCAGCCACTGATTAACGGGGTCATCGTGAGGCATAGAGGTCAAGAGTAGTGGCAGGCATTCGTCAATACTTCCATTGACTATCCATCTGAAACACTTCTTCTTGATGGAAGGATTGCTCGCCGGCTTCTTTACAGGGTTAGTAAGGAATTGAAACGAGGAAGTTACAAGCCCATGATCACAGCCAACTTCCGCCATTGCATGAAGATTGCACTCAGTGATCGCACTCTCCGGAATAAAAGAAAGCTGACTGCTGGACCGAAGGAACATATAGTCGTATTTCCTGCAGACTCCAAACCGGTACCAGGTATCTGTAGGGGGAAGGTGTAAACTGAAGCCATAATACGATGACAAAGCGGCCAAGTCATTGAATCTGTCATTCCCAGGTTGGGTGTTCCAGTCCCCAGCAATGCAGACAAGCTTGAAACGTCGCGCTTTGCGAAAGGTGTTTTCCAGCTCCCATAAGGCTTCTTCGAAGGCCTCCTGAGGAGCAGCTCGATGTGGAAAGTGGACGCCCGCAAGGAGCATGTCATGTCCCAGTGCCATATGTTTGAAGCAAACCTCCATAATCCGCTTACCGGAGGACCCCCAGTGAATGACACTACAAAGGTCCCTATCAATAAGCATCACCTGTGAAAGGTGCGAGTCCATATCGGTAGCACCGACAACATGATAGGCGCCAAGCTCGGCATCCGCAGAATAAACAATCGCTTTGAGATGCCCACCCGGAAGGCAACAACTGAATTCGAGAAGATGCAAGCCACCCACCTCCTGAAGCACCACTAAGTCCATGGTCTCCGCCTTTGGCACCTCCAACCAATCATTGATTACATCCAAGGACCTTTCCTTGAACATTCCAAGTTTGAACTTCCATGTGGGAGGTGACAAGGGCAGAAGCCGCAGACCCAACAGCACATCAATCTGTATGAGATCCGGCAGGCTGATACGAGTCAACTGGTGCAATGCTGTCAGATTATACCAGACGGACTGCTCATGACCGTCAACGCGCACCTTAGACTCCACGCATTTATCCTGGGCATCAAGGCTGCGTTGCTCCATGGCCAACGCTCTGTGATCAGCAAGCCAAACAACCGAGATGCCCCAGTCAATCTCAACTTGATCGGACTCAGTCGTGAGCTTGGCGATGCGGAGCAGTCTGCCGATGGCCGCTCCAAAGATCTTGTTGCGAAGCCTAACCTCGAGAAACTGTTTGTTAACCTGCGGCAAGATCTTGAAGAATCTGTCCTTGGCAGCCTGCAAAGGAAGAGTGCGAAGGTATCCGTGTGCAATCCTCGCGCGCTTGCCGTAGACAGCAGTGCGATCAAGCCCATCAACGGGAAACCTTCGCAGAAAGGCCTCGACTTCTGCTTCCACCAGCTGTCGCTTGGAGTCCTTCGCCCATCCTCCAAAGATAAGGTGATTCCAATCCGTACCGTCGAACACAGGTGTCGGGGTAACCAGCGATGAAGGCGGGGGAATCCGAGCACCACGGTAGGCAGCCCAAGGGTCAGTAGGAGCATGATTGCGACTGGACCCATCAGCAGAGTTAGCTGCAGAGCCTGCGTGCGACGTCCCTTCCAAGACTTTGGCTTTGAGGCCCTTTAGCTCTTGTTCCAAAGCATCAAGGCGTGTGCTATCAGCGGCCCTCGTCTGTTCCAGCACAGTCATCCTGCCACAAATCTCGCTAGTTGTCGAGATCAGAGTCTGCATCTGGTTGCACAAGCTATTGTTCAAAGCAACAGCCCAGGGCGGAGCATCAGACATCGACGATGCAGCAGTACTGAGAACAGGTACCTGTGCCTGATACAAGAGTCGGTCCAAGTCTTGATCAGCTGTGCGCTTGCACCCTCTCATTTCAAGAAGCATCGTCTCTTCGTCAGACATGAACCCTTCAGAGACAGAGGCAGCGACTTAAACAAAGGGGCCCAGAGCCGAAATCTTGAGCCAAAAGTAGCCAAGTAGTAGTAGTAGTAGTAGTAGTAGTAGTAGTAGTACTACTACTACTACTACTACTACTGCTACTGCTACTACTACTACTACTACTACTACTACTACTGCTCCTACTCCTGCTGCTGCTGCTACTACTACTACTACTAATAATCATAATAATAACCAAAATAAAAATAGTAATATTGGTAATCGTAGCCGTAGCCATGCTAACTTGACGGATGCCATCGTCGTCAGCAAAAGCTCAAAGGGAATTACAAACCTGCAACCAAAAATCATCAACAACAATCAACAGCAAAAACCCGAGCAAGCACATGAAGCCTCACAAACACACAACCAAATCCCCGCTTCGGTCCAAGAAGAACTACAAATCAAGGGACTCACAAACACTCCACATGAAACAGTCACACGATGTCTTCACCTCTGCGCAAACCCCTCGAAGTTCATGGGCTCCCGTGCGGCTCCCCGGACTGTATCCTGTCGGCCGGAGATAACCTTGGGCCTTGGAACAGATACCGTCTACACTTGTTGGAGATTCTTTATAAATGCAAACAATGCAAACATAGAGACATACATACATATATGCATATATTACTATTGCTGGTGTTAGTACGTATGTTCCAACCTTCTCCGACGCCCGATTCTAGTTTTTATTCATATTGATATTTATTCATCTGCTCAAAGAAGCATCAGAACAGAGAGGCGCATGCCTCAAGAGGATTCTTGTCCAGGAAGGCCATTTCATCTTGTGCGGACGACTGCCCCGCTTATCATCTATTCGGACGACCGGTGTCTCCTTTGGAAGGATTCTTCAAGTCTTTGGGGGTCTTCAAAGGCTGAAATTGGGCGGTTTCAAAACACAAAACCTTACAATTCAGTGCACGTCTAAAGGGCGGCCATGTCGCACTGCCCAGAAACACCACTGTCCTCTCAAGAACTCTTTCAAATCTGCACCCTGATGGATCATCCCAATCGTTCCCGCACGGCAAACCCGTAGTGCTCCATCGCGCCCTGCCTTTTTCAAGCTCATTACCTCAAGTGGCGAGCAGCCAATCTTTTCAGCAGGCAAGATAATGCGGCTGTGGGGTTCAGCAAGCCCTGCATGCTCCATGTTTCGTCTGCCGCGAAACTTGAGTCGTGAAGTTCTCGCCGGCATCACCCTTAGTGTCCACACGCTGCACGTTTCTTTTGTCAGCGCTTCTTCCAGCTCATGCTAGGCTTTGGCGGCACCCAGCAGTATTTGCGGTAGTACCATGTGATCCCTGCCGTGTAAAAGCCGTTGGTTGCGATGAACAGGAATGTAGCCGCAGGCAAGCTGCTTGCGGTCCAGGGCACCCAGGTGAGCAGTGCTCCTCTCATGACCATCTTGAAGTACTCCGCAGTCTCCTCCTGACCCGGCTGGGGCGGGTTAGCATTGAGCTCAGCGTTCGCCAGCAGTGCCAGCGCAGAGAGACACGGCAGCACGCCATAGGGGTCCGGAAGCACCAAAGAATCCAGCCAAAGGCTGGGTGATGTCACGAAGCTTCGGAAGGAGTCGGGGTGGTTCATGATACCGTAAAGGGCCCCGAAATAGGTCAGACCAATGGGAAGTACCACGCCGACTTGGTAACCTAGGCCTTGTACTGGATTGAAGCCCGTCTCCTGCGTGAATGCCTGGAAGCGTTCCGTGGCTTTCTGCAAGTCGGCTTCAGCTTTCTCAGCCTTCGCCGCGCCTGCCGCCCCTCCGACTGTGCCTTCGCCGCGGCCACCCCTCCGTGACTGTGCCTCGCTGTACGACTTCGCGAGCTCCATGTACACAGGCATTAGCACCAAGGCATCACAGCGGCGCCTGAGTGATGTAAGGTTCCAGGGTGCAGTAACCAGGCGCGTCAGCAGCGCTGCAGCCACCACGGCAGCACCAGCGTCCCCGGTGGCTGAGTGCAGAAGCAGAAGGCTTTGCTGCAGCACGTCCATGAGCAGCCATGGCTGGTAGAGGTCAAGCGAGTTCACACCTGCATCCGCTGCTGCTGCGCGCAAAGCACGGAGGACCTCTTCGTCTGCTCCCGCGGGAGGTGCAGCTGCGAATCCACGCTGGAAGCCCCACAGCCGTAAAGCGCTGCTTAGAGGCCGACGACCCCGACACAGCGACATGGAATGGAGATGGACGGCAGGGGTGAAGCGACGTCAGGCATCTGCCAGCCAAGGTTTGCAGTGGAATCTAAGCACGGAGGACAAAAAGAATCGTCAGACACGAGCTCAAGTCGCACCTAATACCATGAACTTCCTAGCCCACGGCATCCGGCATCGTGCGATGTGGAGGAATATTTAGCCCTTCCAGATTACATCTGGCGCCCTGGCGCTTGCCCTTCTCGCCGCCTTTGTTCACGGGCGGAGGTGGCTGCTGGATGCCTCCAGGTTTTGCACCCTAATGCAGAGAAATGGCTCCTTGCTAGGCGGAGAACAAGCCCAACCCTCCCCACTACCACCGACCTACCTGCCCACCAACCTTCCTGCCTGCCGACCTGCCTCCAACCACCCACCGACCGCCCCATTCTATTCGACCCGAAACTCTGAGGACCCCTCTCAACTCTTGAGTTCTACCAGCTACACCCGTTGAACTGAAAGCCGCGAAAGTCTTAAGGCCCCAGACCAGCCGAGTAAACCCAGTGTAACCCTGAGACTTAAGACCTGCGGTTTTGGGCTTATCCTGAAGGTTGCGGATCCAAGGTGTGGGGCGTCGGGCCTAGGATCGAAGCATTCAATGTCACCTCAACCGAAAAGGGCCGGCACTGTTGTTTTCACCACGGGCCTTCCAAGCCATTAAACTCCTTCCTTAACGAAAAGCTATAGGAGTTGACGAGACCATCTAAAGCTTGCCAACCCGCAATCCTAAGAAGCCCAAAGCGATGGATACCAACCATAACACCTTCAGTCCCCGAAACACTAAGCCTCGAAAACCTAAACCTAGAACTACAAACGATGAACCGTTTTGCAATTTTCTGTTCGAACCGTAAGATGTTAAACCCCCAAAAAAAGAAACAACGAAAAAGCTTGTCCAAAAAAATATCTACCTCGAATTCCAACAACCGAAAAACCAAGAAAGTGCACCCAAAGTTTGCAACCCCACACACTACATACCCTACATGCTAAACCTGAAACACTGTACTCAACATGACAGAGCCTCAACCTCATCCTCCGAAAACAAACAACGAACCCGAGAATTCACAAACTCGAAAAACTCTAAACTAGCCCCGAGCCTCCAGGAATACATCCTGAAGGCTCAAACTTGCAAGTGCCAAACAGTAGACCCGAAAATCATCAACCAACAGCACACACAAGCCCCCAGAGTGCCAAAAGCCCCATGGTTTGCTACCATTCCCAGCCCCCCAACCCCAGAACACCGTGCACAAGAGCCGGAAGCCTGAAACAGGAAGCCCGAGACAATATACCCTGAAATCAAAAACAGCCAAACCAGGTACTCTCAGTTCTGAATCCTGAAACCAAGCTGAACAACAAACCCAAAACTAAGTTTGGCAAACGGCAAAACAATAAACCTAAAAAATTGCAACCATCAAGCCACAGACCCTAGACCCTAGAACCCCCAACCCTAAACAACCCGAACGAAGCCCAGAACCAAACCCCGAAAAGCCCTGTCTTCCACCAGTAAACCCTAAACATCCCGGAGACTCAAGCTAAGCTACACAGCCGCACGCTCCAGCAAAAAATGCCGAAAACATCGAGACGATCACCCTGAACCCCAAACACCAACGAGACGCTCCATACAGCTTCTTTAGAGCTAACCTCCCAGGTGCCAACATACCACAGCCCGAACCATGCCCAAAAAAACTGTGAAAGCGCAAAGTCTTAAAGGTCGGACATTGTGCACGAAAGCCTTGACCCTGAACCGAACAATAGGCCAAAAAATCTAAAGTCTTCCCTACCACGCGATCAATCCAACCCCGAGCCCCACGCAAAAAAAGTCCTATCCATCCAGTCACGTACTAACTCTTACATGCAAATCGCGAAAACAAGCCAAAAAAACATAAAATCTCAGTAACCCTGAAAACATGGACACTAAACTTCCAATCTTGAACTCTTGATATCCTAACGATAAGCCCACTTAATGAACCTCAGTAGATTTACCGGCCCTCAGAACCGAAACCCTTAAACGATCAATCCTAGCGTCCTAGCTCGCCAGACAGTGCAGCCCCCTAAACATCGCAAACAACACACCGCTGAAAGCACAAACTCTCCGACCACCGAGGTGTAACCCGAGCAACCTTAGACTAGAAGGGTAGGAGTTGGATGTAACCAAAAAAACCTCGGCACTGCACCAGGCATTATGAGCCCACCCCAGGCAAGAAGTCTGAACACTCTTATGCCCTAAGCCGGTAGTCCAAGGTCCCGATCCCCTGACCTGCAAATCAAGCCTTGACCTGACCCCGCAATCCCCAAACTCCAAACCGAGCCTGCTGGCGGGGCTCCCTTGAAGCCGGAGCTAGGGGGCCCCTTCTTGCCGCCGAATCCTCCCGTACACTTCACAAGATCTAGCTTCAGGTTTTTGACTTGTGGGGGCAAAAGGCATGATCTGCAGGCTTCTTGACATGAAGGAGTTCCTGTTAATTCCCTCTATGATCTGGTGCTTTCATTCTACTTAGGGTCTTGCGGCAGTCCACTTTTCGATACAATGGGCTACACCCACGACAGTAACCAGTTTTGGCTCGAGGAGGATGCATCCGAAACACGAAACAGTCCGACCGTTTAGGACTGTTCTGTCTTTATCGTAAAGTCATGACGACTGTTGTTGAGGGGCAAAGTATCCACGAACGCATGCTGGGTTGGGTAGGGTGGGGTCCATGTCTTGCCATTTGCATCCCTAACTCAGGCCCGAGAGGCAGGGAGAACTGCAGCCTTCAAATTGGTCGGGGTGTGTAGAAAAGCAGAGAGCAACTTTTAAATTTGAGAAGACCTTCCGAAGCCAAAGCCTCGACCTTATGTCTGCGTGCGCTGCGCAGCCCTGAAGCTCGGGCCGCCTTTCGCGTCGAATCTGTCGGCTGGCGGGCCTTGGCCCTTGAGGCCCACGGATTGCCTGGCGAGTTTCGGGCCATACTTTAGCGGTTTGGGGCTGTAGTGTCTCGGCACCACGATACGTCGGACTTGCTGGTCTTGCCATCTCAATGCTAAGTTCCACCCACTCTCGACAAGCCGGGCGAGGCATCTGAGCAACCATGGTCCGATCCGACTGCTGCGGGCCTGGCCCTGCTGGAGCCCTCAAGTGTGATATGATGTAAAAGGCACCCGCAACCAACTTCAATCCAGCCAACTAGCCGAAGATAAAGAGGGCTTTGGGGCTTTGTTCCCACCCGCCCAGCTGACAAAACTTTGTGGTTTTGGGGCCTAGGTTCAGAAACGATGGCCTTCGGAGGCCTCGCGACTCGCCCCGCCGTTGCTCAAAACTTTGCGCAACCCTCAAAGTCTTCAGTGCGAAAGTCTCGGACTCGGGATGCAGTCCGACAGTCTTAGGGTTAGAGTACTGGATGACTCGTCGCATTGCACCTGTCCAAATCACACCAACACCAACAGGTACTGCCGCCTTCACCTACAATTGTCAGGGTCTGCAATTCTCCGACTCGGTCGAGCCAGAACCATCGAAAAACCTTGTGAGAATACGCAACCGGTTCAAATTTGTTTGACCCGATACCCCTTGCCTCTGGGCAACACCAAATGCGCCGTTGTACCTCCAGCTGTAGGAAGAAGACTTCCCTGTCTGGCTCTGTCGAACAAATCAATAATTGAATATCGGCAGTAATATCGATACGAAATTTCTTGTTCTGGTAACAAGCTGAGGTGAGGTGAGGTGAGGTGAGGTGAGGTGAGGTGAGGTGAGGTGAGGTGAGGTGAGGTGAGGTGAGGTGAGGTGAGGTGAGCATCGCCGAGTCACGAGCCTAACAAGAGGGCGGCCCCTCCGGCGCAAGGCCGACGACCAGCAACAGCAACAAAAACAACAACACAAAACAACGAAAGCGAGGATGATGTGCCACACACCACTGCCGTTGTCCGAGATCTGCCGTGTCTGGCAAATCTCGGTCACAGGTCCCACGAGCACGGCTCGCCTTTCCCGCTGATGCCTCCTCCAGCTTCGGTTGCCAGCTTGTCGACTCCGTGTTAAAATGCCCGCCACGAATGTCCGCCTGCGGGGAACCTTCCCACCCATACCGAAACAGATTCCGCCGGACCCAACTCCCGCTCTCCTTTTTGGCAGTGACGGGCAATCTTCATCCGCCTCCCAAGGCGCCCCACAGCATAACCAATCGACCCTGCCTCGCGATCTTAAGCAAAGCAGGGGCCGTCCCGGCAGCTGCGAAGGACAATGAGTCTGAGAATCAGACGGACAAGACGCGCGAAAATACATACAGATGTACATTCCCAGATATTCAATCGCATATGGTGTTGATATTCCCAGCTGCCAACACTGACCATGGCGATCACAGCCGCGCCATGGAAGCAAGAATCAGAGTTATGTCATGTGCCACGGTGCTCAACACTGCTGGCAAAGAGGAACCCGTACAAAATATAAAGCAAGAGCACCAAACCTCACCTGCTCTGCAGTCTCTGCCTCTCAATCGGATTCGTTTCCCTTGTCTGGGGCCCTTGGGGCCCGGGCCCTCTGAGGGCCGGAGCTTCTCGCAGCGGCTCGGAGCCGACTCCTCGCGGAAGGCCTGCAAATGCGACACTGCTCTGAAGTCGCTTGGTGATTTTTTCCTTCGACGGAGAGTGGGTTTTTTTGAGGGACGGGGGAGACCTTGAGGCTCATGGCGCGTCATGGCGACTGTCAGTTCCGATGTAGGGCTCAGGGCGAAAAGTTTCTGGGATCTTCTGAAGTTTGGCAGCTCTCTTCGGCAACTCTCCCCAGCATCCTTCTCGGAGGTATTTCCGACTGGCGCGGAACAAAAAGGTGCCAAGAGTATAGCACCAAAAACTCTGTGGATGAGTCCGTTCCTTCCGTTGGAGAGCGGTTTGGACGCCCTCTGGGGCTGCTAAATAAAGCATACTGTAGGAGGGAAGCGAGCATGAAGTGGGTTAGGCTGAAGACAGCACGAGTAATTTTCAGTGTCCGTTTGCTCTGTCCACTGTAACAACGCACACCCTCA